TTCTCTATGACAAGACATGTGTCCTCGGCTCCAAGAGTACCTTCACTCTGAGGGAACCAAGTATCCTCGGCTCTGAGAATACTCACTGAAATTTGATTTTGCCACGAGTCTTCGGCTTCTGGAGAAGCTATTGATTGACAGCTGAACAGTCTAAACTAGACTAGGGATCATGAGTAGGCTTGTCAAAATTTGACACGATACGAATCGATACGAATTAAGCGGGTGTGGGTGAAACCTTAACGGGTTTGGGTGGTAAACGAATTGACATGTCAAACACGTTTAATAAACGGATTGTGTTCAAGTGAGACCTGTTAATNTGGGTGGTAAACGAATTGACATGTCAAACACGTTTAATAAACGGATTGTGTTCAAGTGAGACCTGTTAATCCGTTTACCAATTTAAATAAATTTAATATAATAATAAATTAATAATTATATATACATATATAATTATATAAAATAATGAATGAGTAAAAAAAAAGTAAAAAAAATATTTAAAAAAATAAATAAGAAAACCAGTTCACAAAAAATAGAAAACAAAAGTTTTTAGCCTTGAGGCATTGAATGTCATTTTGGTTCGAATCCCACGTCGACAGCGGAGCGGGGAGAATAAGACAGCAGTTGCCTATAAAAGAGTTGCGGGCCTACTTCCTCTGGTGTGGCTTATCACTTTGACCGTTGGCCAGAACTCTTTCAATTGTAAAAAGTGTGGTTTGAAGAAAAAACAAATGGTATTTAAAAATTTGTTAAAATAATAATTTTTTTATTATTTGTTATATTTAAATGGGTTAAATGAGTCGTGTCGTGTTACCTGTATATTAAACAGTTTGTGTTCGTGTTAAAATATTTTACCCATTTGGTAAACGTGTTGTATATGAGTTTATATATATTTTAATCTGTCATCCATTTAATTTGACACGTAATTATTTAACCTGATATGATTGACACCCCTAATCACGATGACACTTTGCACAATGAAGTCAAAGTAGCATAACGAATTGGATACTCAACCAGGGGGAGTTAGACGCGTGGCATAAAATGCAGGATGTGGGGTAAATAGACAGAACTATCCCTGTTGACTTACTATTGTCCCAGACAAGCATTTAATGAATCCTCAATGATGAGACATCCACAATAGCTTGGGAAGCCGAGGATATCGAGTAATAAATGCTCTGAACTTCGAGCAATTAAAGTCTTTATATCGAAGGGAGAGCATTAAATACTCGGGAGCCCGAACAATCAATAACAGGGTCTCCCCCATGAAAAATAAGGGGCACATTGGGTATTATCTACTGACTAGGCCATCAGTACTGATGAGCCTCTGGAGGTATAAATAGTTTCTCAAAAAATGAAGAAATTGTACGCAAATTCACCTCTCAAGAACACCACACAGAATTTTTTTCTTCTCTTATCTCAAAGAACTAACTTGATCGTCGGAGGAAAAACGTCGAAAAATACTCCAGCACCCCTTCTAACCCATTTTCTGTGTGCTAGGAACCGCCCGTAACCAGCCGAAATCGATCGAGTAGCCCCTGAAGCAATTCATTACCACACCTTAGGCCTCCTTTGGCTATTTTGGATTGTTCCTTTGCCCCGGAAATCGCCCATTTTCTCGATGAACGCGAGTTCACCAAGGGATAGGTCTATCTTTTCATCTATTGCGTGAAAATCACCACGCACAAGAATTATAGCGGAAGTTATGATTCATTTGAGCAAAATTTCGATTTAACTGATCGATTAAAATTGTTGATATTTTGATCGATCTATTGAATCATAACTTTAACCCCCCGATTGAGTCAAAATTTGTCTGGTTGATTGTAATTACTTTTATTATAATATTTCTTGCATATATGGTGGTCAATCGATCAAATTTGAATCCGTTTAACTAGATGTGAACCAATATTTTTATTTGTTTATGCAACGGTAGTAAGTTGGCCTGGTCTCTCGACCAACCTTCACCTCCTTTGGTGAACAAGTTGAAGCCTTCAAGAGTCTTTGACCTATCATCTTTCTTTTTCAAGGTTGAATTTATTCAATTGAAGCTAATATTATGTTGTCCTTATCTTATTCAAGAGAAAACGATGACTTAATCTATTTAAATATCTTAAATTGGATATGAATATAAATATATACAAATTTGATCAAATAAAAATTTGATTCAATTAATATATATAATATGTATGTTGGCCTTTGTTATATATAATATGTATACTATCAATAATCTCGTACCTAAAAACACTTTATAATGCTAAAAATCGAACATTGATCGTGAAATATTTATATTTTAAATAGCATTTTTTTTAATTACGCAATTTAGAATTAAAGTGAACAAAGAAAAAATAAAAAAGAGGTAAGTGAAAGAGAAGAGATAAATAGGTGTATGAATTAATAAGACTATTTGATATTGAAAAGTATGTAAGTTGAGTAATTGGTATTTAGCTTTTGCTTATCTATTATGTTTTTTTCTTTTGAGTTCTTCCCCTTCTTAGTTGAGATGTCTGAGGTCGATGGTGCATTCGGTATGCTCTTTTGGTATTCATCAACTCGGTCAGATGTTTCAATCCTTTATTCATATTCTGTCTCAATATCCTTTTTCATGTCTATATTGCGAGTTCAAATGTTTTACTAGTCATTCACTTGTCTGACATTAATGATAATGCAGAAAAGATAATATTTTTTAGAGAAAAAAAAAATTAGGATAAATTTGTACCATGGATCAATCTTATCGAATATGGATTTAGTCTTACCGTATTCATGTAATAATTGGGTTAACCCGTCATGCAAAAATATGAATCCCAACAAATAGATGTCTACTCAAGGCTTATATGTGATCAATTGAAAATGATATGATCTAATTATATATGATTATAAATAGTTCGAATATAAGTTAAGTAAATTTTGACACAATAAAATTTAAACAGTACATAAATCCGACACGACACAACATATATATATTAATCATTGTCCATGTCTGAAGACACTATATTACTTATAAAATTTCAACATACAACGATAGGATATTTAAATAATTTCAATACATAGCGATTATATTGGTTTTGAACATTTTTTGTCAGTGCAATTGGTATCTTATTTTTTTGTATTGGTCACCTATTTTTTTTAATTGTTGATTAGCTTGGGTTTTGGATTTTTTTTTAACTTTCTGAGAACTATAGGTTTTCATATAGTAGTAATTTATTTTTGGTATGAATAGTAAATTGATGATTTTAATTATGAATTATAAAAACAATTTAAATTTCATTGATTAATAAGAAGTAAATATCAACCACCGTTACTAATATGCGTGATAAGAAGATCTATTTACGGTGTATTTTAGGTGTGAATCAGTTTGTAATAAGAAGGATGAAAAATTATGTAATAAGTATATAATAGTTTTTAATGAAATATTATACCACAAGTTTTAAAAAAATTGATAAACCAAATAACTTACATGTCAAAAAATAGTGACATTGTCCATTTGGGTACTGATTTTTTGTGTTTTAGTGATGGTGTGTGTGAGGTTATTGGGGTCAAACGTAAATTGGCAAACCTTGAAAAAAGAAGCATTCAACTTAGAAATATTATGTATTTTATGTGTGTTTAATAGAAATATTTTTAATTTTATGCAAAATTTTATCATAAAATTAGAAATTAAGTAAAACCAACTTAAATCAAAGTACAAACAATACACTTTTAACATATAAGATTTAACAACAATCAGTTAATAACAATATATCTACAACTAAACCACATGAACATTAAAAATTAAAAACAACAAACTATTGCCAAAGCATACACTCCTAAACCAACACAAAAAAATCATCAATATTTACACACACGCATAAATGTTAAACATTTTCTAATTGCACAATTATAAAAATTAAACATAAAATATTTGATAACTACCTAGTTATAAAAATTGAACAAAATAAATAATCAACACGAAATAATGAAATGTTTTGCCATTAACAACATTTGTAATAGATATTCTTTTAACTAATCATTTATGACAATCAACAATATGTTTTGTTCACTTTCAATAAAAATTAAAATTTTGAGAACTATAAGTTTTCGTGTAATTCTGAACAAAGT